CCCCAGTTTTTCAGTACATTGTGATGGCCATGCTACGCGACAGGCTCGTCTTCATAATTGATTTTTACATTCCGTCCGAAGGGGAGTTGAGAAGCTGTTTGTATTATTCCTACGTAACCAGCATATTTTTCGATAGAATGCCGGAAGGTTGTGAGCCTGCCATTACGTTTTTCTTATCGATCTTCATCATGCATATCGCCTCGTGCTTGGATGGAGAATTATTCCTTGTATCCGGCGTGAGAGAATATAATGATAGTCCCCCGTTCTTGAGAGACCATTGTCCGTTCCATATCCATCACTTAAGCAATTTGAATCGAGTTTTAAGAGATATACTAATGCGCGACTTGCCGAATATCGAAGCAGATCTTCAGGCCCGAATTCCCGAACCAAGTCCTTTTAATCGAGTTCAACATAGACGAGCGCAACGACGACGATCGCGGGAGGCTACTCAAAGAATGTACATGTTGCTACCATGAAGATCGTACTAACTCTTTTCACCCGACGCATGCTACGAAGATACTCATCGTCTCAGGATATTCAGATTCTATATGTGAATAGACTCTCATTTATCACCTCACTCCTTTTGCAGTGGGTCTGACCCTATCACGTTGTGGACATCATGTCGAGCTTGGATGAGCTTCTGGCTGGGACTTGTGTAGGCAGGTGAACATTGTGTCGGGTTCGGATGACCTTTTGTCTAATGCAGGACTTCGGCACGAATTAGCGTTCGTGTAGGTCTTCGGCTTGAATCAGCTTTCATGTAGGTCTTCGATATGTTTGTATTAGAGGTAGGGTTTGTTTCATGTGTAATGCAGGACTTTTCGGCTTGTGGCGAAGAGAGCGATTGATATAGACTATACGGAAGCGTCTTCTGTAGATAAGGGCATGTCATGTAGACTATCCGACATGGGCTGGAATGTTTTTTGGAATGCCTACATGTGCCTTAGAACGTGTCCTTCAATGATTTTTGGAAAGGCTCCATGTACTTTGTGAATTTTGGAAAGCTTCCGTGTACTTTGCAATTCTGTATTGAATTGTTTTTTAAAACGCCTCTGTGTACTTTGCAATTTGCCATTGAATGATTTTTTTGCATTGAATGATTTCAGAAAACTCTCCTTGTGGTGTGCAACTTCACCTTTAGAAAAACACTAGGTAACTTGAAGGCGATGACAAGAGTTACTTATAGGAATGGATATGTATCTTCTCCACACAAAGACTTGATGACATTTTCACCGGGTAATATACAAATGAAAAGCCAACGTCCATATTAAATCATCGCGTTGATGGTGTGCGCACCTGCTTCTCCATCTAAGTGCGAGTTCATTCGCACTTTTGGTGTGAACGTCGAGCAATTTCATCGCACTTTGCTTCAACTTGACCTTTACAAAAACAACGGGCAACCTGCAAATGTTTCCCTCTCTCCTTTTCTCCCAACTTCCGCGATAGTGACCTTGAAAATGTTTCGATCTCTCATCTTCATGTGATGTGATGCATGCATGTTTTCGATAAAAAAAATGCTCATGTCAAGAAGGGGATCGAACGAACCGCCGGTAAGCACCTGCACATCACGAAACAAGAGCACGTCCCAATTGGAGCATCGTCGGGTTCTTGCGATGTCGACTCCCGCATGATGACTACACTGAACAGCGGCAGGATGACCGGTCCGCCTCTCCGATGTGGATCTAACAGTGGATTGCGTCAAATCAGCTCTCATAGAGCCACACCGGGGATGGGGGCCGGGATCCGGCCACAGTTTGCTTGTAAGGCATCATACGATGTGTCGATATAACCGACGTCCAGAACTGCTTGGTGAGCATCTAGTGTTACGCCAATAAGTTCCAAACAAGGTCGCAAAGTCCCCTAAAAATGTTCATTGTCGGTTCCTCACGTCGTCGATTCCCACGTGATGAGTACAATAAACAACGGCAGAATGGCAGGTCCCCCTCACCGGAATGGATCTAACGGTGGATTGCGTCAAATCTGCTCTCAAAGATCCACACCGGATAGAAGGTCCTGCAATCAGTCGTTGCTTGCTGGTAAGCATCATATGATGTGTCCATACGATCGACATCCAAAACTGTTTGGTGAGCATCTAGTGCTACGCCAAGCAGTTTTGCCGTCCCCTAAGAATGTTTTTAGCACTAGAGACCTGAGACCGCCGACTATTTGGCACTTCTTGAAGGTGGTCATTTCAACCGATGCAGAGGGCTCGTGATCACTTCCATTGCGTGTATACGTGCCCATGGGTGCTCGGCCTGACATACATGTAGTGTTGTTTGACACTTTCCTTACAGTGCTCTGTCGAATACCGATAACCGCGAATTGACTCGTTGTTCAACTAGAGTCTCTCTCTCTCTCTCTCTGTCTCCCTCTCAACTGCCATGCCCGTTGATGTACCTCTCGCCCGGCTGGGTGCAGTGTCGCCGTGCAGTGGTGGTCGTGTTCAACAAGACGCCCGTCATCGGAGTTTCGACGGACGTCCTTGGGGGGCATGGTTATTTTCGTTCCCTGTGAGCTGGGTGGAAGCATTTGCTTTTTTTTTTTTTTTTGTGGCCTGCAGGGCATTTGCCGATCGCGATGGCCATGTCGGAGTTGATTATCCTGGGTGATTGGCGTGAGCGCATGGCATTTCCTTTTCCCCCATGCGCGTTGCGCGTCTCCAGCAGTGAAAACTCGACTGTTATGACGGTGCAACAAAAGACGAGATGGAGTGTGATCCTTGGATGAAGGTCCCCCCGCTCACTGATGCTCCCCTGGACTCGTGGAAAGAGCTTGAATGGGACATAATGCTCAGGGAGTGTCCGTGAGCGGACGACTACAAGTTCGCTAACATGTGCGAGTTTGGGAGTTTCATTCCCGTGCCTAGAGTTGTGCTCGGTTCAGTTCGGTGTCGTCGCTTGAGTGCAAAGCTGAATATTCCTCGTCATCAGAATATGCTGGCCTGCAACGTCGTGACTGCTTCGCCGCGCACATGGTCTCATGCGCTGAAACACGAGTTACTTGCCTGTGCACGACATTCCGAGTTCCTCGATGAGTACCCATTGCACTCTCCAGGGCTAAAGCCTCGAGCAGTTTCCTACTGTTGCGTTAGATTGCGTCCCGGAAAGTTATTCTTGTCTAGGGTCCTTTGCGTCGCGTGTTCGAATCGGAATAGGACATTGACTGACGATATGGTCTACGTGTCCAGGAATGAGTTGCACCTTGGGAGAGACGGGATCGGTTTGGTCACAATAGAATTCGAAGAGACATGGGATTTGGTAATCGAGGATAAGGTGGACGATGTGGACGCATGGCGTGAGGTTGAAGCTCAAGCGTCCTCTATACGGGATGCTATAGGCAGATCTCTGGCCGGAAGGACCGGGTTCGCTCGCATGAAATATATTTCTATGTTCGTGGAAGATGCTCCAGTCGATGCGCTGCAGTGTCTTACGTTCGGGTCGCCTGTTCGAACTTTGAATGAACGCATGTACATACCGGTCTGTCGTCATCGGTAGAAGTGAAAGTTCTGAACGGATGTTACACTCCGATTTCCTTATACATTACACACATGAGATCATGGTGTGCGCACCTATCTCTCCATCTAAGTGCGAGTTCACTCGCACTTGCTGTATGCGCCCCGAGCATTCCACTTCAGTGGTGTGACCACCTGGCTCTCCATCTAACTGCGAGTTCACTCGCACTTGTGCTCTGAACCCCGAGCAATCCGCTTAAGTGAATGTCTTGACGACTGCGTGTGGGCGTGGCCACGACAGTTCCCGTTCGCTAACTATGTTCAAGAGTGTCAACGTGCCCGTGTGTATCGTTTGGTATGTGCGCGTGGTGTGTAGGGTGCGTAATGGAGGCGACCTTCTCGACACCACGAATCATGGAGTCGATCTTCTCGACACCACGGACCATGAGTCCCGAGACGCACATTCGCTTGGCAGAACCGTTTCCTCCTTGCGCGAGATCCGTGCAGTATTTTAACGGTGTAATGACGATCCACGGAGCGACCGCAGAGGACTTCAACGAGGACCCCTGGATGACCGTCGTCTCGTGCATGGACGGGCATATTGACGGTTGGTGCGATGGGAATTGGGCCACGATGGAGAGTCGCTGCCCTTGGGCAAGCCAGTACAAGTTCGCCAACATGTTGGAGTTCGGGAACCTCATCCCGCTGTCTAACACTGTCCTCGGACACAAGTTCCTGAACCATATGCGCAGAGCACTGGGCTGCATTAGCCGCCATTTCAGCCGCCTCGAGTGCCACTACGTCAGGTCGTCACCATGAACTTGGGGAGGCTCGCGGAAACAAGAGTTGGTGGACTGCGCTCGTCACCGCTCGTTCCTGGAGCAGTACCCACTCCAGTGCCCCGGGAATTCTCCACAAGCTGTGCCATAGTGTTGTGTGCGATTAACTGTGTCCGGGTCTGATTTCGCCAGAGTTCTATGTGTCGCTGCTTCGAACAAGAGCAGGAAACTCGTCGATGTAGTTGTACTTGTATCACACAACGAGGTGGTAATTGAGGGGTCCAAATTTGTGCCGACGCGCGGGCCTGCGCGTGTAGATGGGTGGCGATATTTTGTGATAGCAGGGCGGGTCCAAAACTTTTCGTTGTCCCGTGAGGTTGAGGAGAAAGTGTCTGACATACGGGACTGTATAGGGAATTCCTTAGCACAACCGGGAGTGTTTGTCATGATGAAATACATGTCCGTCTTTTCGGAGAGTGTATCAGTCGACGAACCGCAGATCCGCATGTACGGATCATCAATAAATGCTTTGTATGGCTTCGGTACACGACCTTGTCCCCGGGGAACCCCGAATGTCACTAGAACTGGACGTGTGGTCAGACTTAAGTGAGAGTTCACTCGCACTTTGCTTAAGTGAGAGTTCACTCGCACTTTGCTTAAGTGAGAGTCCACTCGCACGTAAGTGAGAGTTCACTCGCACTTTGATTAAGTGAGGAGCTTGTCGATATATAGTGCGGGGCGTGACGATTGAGTGTTGGCCGCACCAGGGGACTTATCATTGGCCAACTTTATTAACGACGGTCTACACGTCCGTATGTGTCGTTTGTGTGTCCGTGATGTGTAGGAAGCGTAATGTCGTCGAGACCTTCGACAAGCGTCAGCATGAGTCCCGAGACGCACATGCGCTTGAGTCCCGAGAAGCACATGCGCTTAGCAAAACCGTTTTCACCTTGTGCGAGATCGGTGCGGCATCATGACGGTCAAACGTGGATCGACGAAGCAGCCAAGGAGGACTTCGACGAGGACCCATGGATGACCATCGTCCCGTACATGAACCTGCATCTCGACGAATGGAACGATAATGATTGGAAGGCGATGGAGCGTGCCTGCCCTCAGGCAAGCCATTACAAGTTTGCCAACATGTTAGAGTTCGGAAGCCTCATTGCACTGCCTGATGGTGTCCTCCARCGAAAGACCCTGGACGATAAGGGTAAACCGATCCGCTACCGTACCAGCTTCAGACGTCGCCTCCACTGCGAGTACATCACATCTTCGCCACGAACATGGGGAAGTTCGCAGAAGCAAGAGTTGGTGGACTGCGCTCGTCATTGTTCATTCTTGGAACACTACCCACCCCGTTGCCCAGGGACTTCTCCACAAGCTATATCATATTGTTGTGTGCGGTTGACTGATGA